TAATGTTTGGCATAGCTGTGTTGTCTCTGCCAAGATCATTTGTTATACAATATTGTTACCTAATAATGCCCCCCAAAAAATAAAAAAATGAGTTCCTACAGAGACCTTGGGGTCTATGATAGATTTAAGCAATGTATAAACTCCTAGGAATAATACATACAGGCTTATAGATATACTAGTAGCTCTGTGCATGAATCTCTGTGCCAGTAGCTCTCTGTGGGGCCTGGCTGCTCCATGCACACTGCCCAGAGGCTCTCCATGTCCCAGAGGCCCTCTGCAGCCAGGCACAGAAGGCTTGCCTTGTTGCCACGGTGATGAAGCTAGCATTCTGCCAGGCCGCTCATGCTGCCTGCTCTCAGTGGCCACCCTCCCACTCCCCACCAGGACTGGGGGACTCTGGCGGGGCTAAGAGGACTGGGTGCCACCATCTTGTGGCTATGGATGCCACCAACTTTGTGATGGAGTGATGATTAATTTGCCTATTATCCTTTTATTATATAGGACTAGAGTAGGGGTGTCGAACTCAATCAGAGAAGGGGCCAAAATCTAAAATCCAGCCTAAATCGCGGGCCGAATGGTTTACTGAACAGTCATAAACTGTCATTGTGATGGAAACGCAGCGGAGTGCAGTGATGACAGCGCGGTGCGGGCCACATTGCAAGGCCTGGCGGGACGGATTTGGCCCGCGGGCCTTGTGTTTGACACATGTGGACTAGAGGCTCAGTGCAAGAAATTCATGCACTGGGGCGGGGGGGGGGGTCCCTCAGCCCAACCTGCACCCTCTCCAATCTGGGACATCCCTCTCACAATCCGAGACTGCTGGCTCCTAACCACTCACCTGTCTACCTGCCTGATTGCCCTTAACCACTTCTGCCTGCCAGCCTAATCACCCCCTAACCACTCCCCTGCCAGCCTAATTGACTCCTAACTACTCCCCTGCCGGCCTGATTGCCCCCAACTGCCCTCCCATACCAGCCTGATGGCCCTCAACTGCCCTCCCCTGCCAGCCCGGTTGTCTCCAACTACCCTCCCCCATTGCCCCCAACTGCCGTCCCCTGCAGGCCTGATTGCTCACAACTGCCCTCCCCTGCTGGCCGTCTTGTGCTGGCCATCTTATGGTGGCCATCTTGTGATGATGTGAGGGCATTGCAAGAGGGTGTGAGGGCCACCTAGGCTTTTATTAGTATAGATGTAAATGTCATGGGGAGAGGATCCATAGCTTTATTAGATTTTAATGGAGGCTGTGACCAAAAGGAAAAGCCAGTGCTACCTAATAAAAGACCTTATTTGTTACAGCCAGAGACACCATTTTCATGAGCTTTTTCCCCTGGATTTCTAAAATATACATCCTGATGAAAACAGGATTGGAGCCATGTATTGTTTCTGTTAACTGTATTATCTTGTAATGGGGTTTTTACTACAATAGAATTCAAACAGATATTCCAAGTTTTATTTTGTTTGTAAAACATGCTTAAATTTATAATACTTTTCTAACCATGAACTTTCCCCATCACTCTCTTAGATTTCATAAATAAAATACTATCTGCCTATCTCAAATGACAAATTTCTTTAGAATGATGCTCCAAGTCTTGGCGTTTTATCACACACAGGGGCCAGGTGGCCTAGCATCCTTGATATGTATTACTTATAAAGAAAACCTGCTCAGTGCTAGAGAATACTTTTACGCAGATGTGGAACAGCAAGCTGACTGTTTCAAGAAGGCCCACCATTGGCTATAGCTGAGTGGTTTAGGGTGTACCATAATTGTGGGGTGGGTTTTGCTGGCAAATAATGGCTGAGAGTATTTAAAATAAAGAAAGTGAATACCACCACAATTGCTAAAATTAAAACTGGTATTCAGAGATAGAAATGGTATCTTTTTCCCTTGGCTTCTGATTGTGTGGCTGAATCTGCTGTAGAATAGGGGAGTCCTGAAAGGCCTAGAGGAATGCACCCCCTCTCCTAGGGGGCACCCTATCACAAGATGCCTGATCAATCTCTTCAGTTCCTTCAGAGGTGAAATATACTCAACAGATTAGGATTTAGTGGCAAAGAAAAATACTCTGTTCCTCCACACCAGCCACTATCTTAGTTCTTGCTTTTGCTTTCTATTTTCCTAAGTTTAAACTTCCTTTTTTTCTATAATAATGCTAGCAAGATAATCGAGTAGGCCACGTATAAGAGATAATCCCAGAAGTGCTGGGAGAGGAGACTAAGGAACCCTGAGCAGAATTGACTGGAGTTCTCATGAGGGAGTCAGCAAGTACCTGGTCAGGGTGCTGTGTGCACACCCATATCCCACCCCCCAGCCAACCACCAAACACACAATGGGTCAAGAGCATAGGCAAATGTGAATATGACCCCTGGCTCATCACTCACTCTCCGCTCTGTGCTGTCAAATTATGGACCTTCACTGAGAGGCCTTCCTCATCTATGAAGCAGAGATGATTGTACCTACCTCACAGAGTGGTGCTGTGAGTATTAATGAGATAATGCAGGGAAAGCCCATGGCAGGCATTGAATAAATGCTAGCTTAAAGCTGCTTGTCTTCTTCTGCAGAATTTAATTTTCTGAGAAAAAGTTATAGTTTTAACATATAAATGTACATAAACTGTAATATTAGATTTTAAAAATGTAAAAAGTAAGGTTTTAATATATAATGTTTATATATTATAGTAACATATCAACATATATTCACTACATACATTTAATACATGTAATATATATTCTGATATATCAATACTCTTACATTCTTAAGCAAAGAACATCAATCGTAATTTAACCCATTTTTATAGGGAAAGTAATATATATATATATTTTAAATATATTTTTATTGATTTTTTACAGAGAGGAAGGGAGAGAGATAGAGAGCTAGAAACGTCGATGAGAGAGAAACACTGACAGCCGCCTCCTGCATACCCCCCACCGGGGATGTGCCCACAACCAACGTAAATGCCCCTGACCAGAATCGAACCTGGGACCTTTCAGTCCGCAGACTGATGCTCTACCACTGAGCCAAACGGGTTTCAGCAGGAAAGTAATATTTTTTTAACTATGTAAAACAAATTCAAAAGGGCTTTTTATATTTATTATTGTTTAGAATACCAGTTATTGCCTTATGCTGTAACTCAATAAAGCTATCAGGCGCTGTTATTAAGCATTGGCCTGGTAGCTGCAAGATAAAAGCCCTTATTTTCTGAAGAGAGTGATGTGTCATTTCCTCTCTGGCAGCTGTGATTACCACCTATGTTTAACTTTGCCTCTTTGACCTGTTCTAATTGGTTCCTGCCCTTTTGGTCGGGAAAGGAGGTTAATAAGTTTTTATCTCTGCCCCTAAGACAAGAGGGAACAGACACTGAGGGAGTGTGAGATCTCTTCTGTGTTGCATACACAATGTTAGTACACCTTACTGTGTGTACACACCTTTATGCAAGTGATACCTTTTCTTTCACTTCTTCATTTACTTTGCTATCTTTTTAAGGTCTTGGCTGAATGTAAGATTCATATTCTTGTAGAAGTGAAGATTAGCAAGTATTTAATGGAGGTTCTTTTCTCAGTGATGGAAGAAGTCTTAACTTGAAAGCTTCCTGTTTGGTCATTTATACCAAACAAGGATGGAGAATGCCATTTTTGACACTTGCACCTCTGCTTGACTTACAACCTTTTTCTCAATTCAGTGAATGTTAACTGATTATCTGTGGTTACCACCTATGTTTAATTTTGGGCACTGAGACTCATTGATGGGACACAAGATGAATAAGTGGTTCCTGTCCTCAAGCAGCTTAAAAGCTACAAGAAACAAGACACTGTAAATTGTAATAGGAGGCAAAATTTGATAAGCTATGTCAAGAAGCTAATACGTAGACCACAAACATGCATGCTTGTTTAGGGAATGAGGAGAATTTTTGTTTTAGTTGCAAAGCAGAATGTTCAAAGAGTAACAGTGACAGATAAAATTAGAGAAATATGATAGATCAGGTCCTATGTCATGCTAACTAAGGAGTTCTGTTTTCTGGCAACACCAAAGCAGATTGAATTCTGTTGAAATCACTAAGAGGGCCTCTACTTAAACCAAATGACAAAGGTGATCAAGGTATGTGTCTGTATTCAGATGGCTCTAAAAAAGGAGGAACTAGCGCTAGTTTTCAAAGGAGTTTTAGAGAAGAAATATCTGGGGCCGCCAGGCTAGGATGCTAGCAGACTATTGAATTAAGCATCCAATTTTTCATGTAAATGTGACTTCCCAGGAAGAATAAAATACATTTGTGGAAAGTACCATACAATTAGCTTAATTTAGATCTTGGTGATTCACAGACCCCATTTCAAATTACTTTTTCTCTGCTTTGTTTTATTTTTTATCATTATTAAAGTCACCTTTTACTTTTATTCTGCTTTTGAGGTTATAGTTTCATAAATTGAAAATATTTTTAGAGTATTTAGAAAATTTAATCAAATGCTGAGCCAAATTTAACTTTAAAACATATTAAGGTTGTTGGAAATGTGATTCAGATTGTTGAGGTAATGCTGTTCAGCTAAATAGGGGTTCATGACACTGTTCTAGACATTTAGAAAGTCATGAGATATATTCGGCTAAGAAGTAGAACCAAAAACCATACTCAATCATAAAGCTACTTGGTATTCCAGACATAGGTATGTAGTTTATGAGAGACCACTTGTATTTAATGAAGCAGTAGGTACAGTATACTGGATTGAAGTAAAGGAATGAAAGTTTGAGTCCAGCCTCCTCTATAATTTTCTGTGTGGCTGTGAGCCTATTACTTTAATCTCCCTGCACTTCAGTTTTGCTCATCTGTTACCAATCCTGATGCTGATCTCTACACTATATTCTGTGATTTAGCTCCCTATCAGTTGTGCCATGTCATTTCTTCTTTTTAGTTTGTAATGGAGGCTGATTAATCCCCCTTTTTATTATACTAATTTACTATGAATCGTTTATTTATTTATTTATTTATTTATTTATTTATTTATTTTTGTCTGCTCTCAGAATTCAAATTTTTATCCTTTGCCAGGCCAGACAATAGCCCTGGGAAGTAGAACACTGCCTGGGCTGAGACAGTGAAGCCAGGCTCAGATGATGAATCATTATTTTTTTAAATTTATCTTTATTCTTGAAAATAGCCCCTTTTTCTTTTTTTCCCATTGACCCTCTCCACCCCACAGCCACCCTTCCTAGGCCTTCACCACACTATTGTCTGTGTCCAGGGGCTATGCATATATGCATAAAGCTCCCAGTAATCTCTCTCCACCCACCCCCTCCTTCCCTCTGAGATTCTACTGTCTGTTCCATGCTTCTATAAAACCTTCTTTTAAGGACAATAATTTTTTGCTTAAACTGTGATTTTAGGAGGAAGAAGAAACCAAAAATTTCCCAAGTCATCTTTAAACTTTAGAAGAAAAAGGTAATTCAGTAAACCATAGTATAGATTCTTTTTTAAATTCTCACCAAGGATATTCTTTTACTGATTTTTAGAGAGAGGAGAGAGGGAAAGAGAACATTGATGTGAGAGAAACATTGATCTGCTGCCTCCATACGCACCTCAACCTGCGATCGAACCCGCAATCTAATATGTGCCCTGACCGGGAATCGAACCCACAACCTTTTGGTGTATGGGACAGTGCTCCAACCAACTGGGCCACCCAGCCAGGGCCAGTATAGATTTTTTCTAATTCAACAATTTTAAGAATTTATCCTGGGTGAACACTATATTCCAATTTAATTTATAGAAAATACTGATTGTCACAATTTTGCTAAGCACATTTCACACATAATTTCTTTAGTTTTCATAGCAATCCATTTGATGGAAGAGAATACTGAGGCTGAGAGAAATATAAATTTATCCATAGTAGCACAAGCAGCAAGTGGCAGACAAGTTAGAGTTCCTGGCTACAGGGAAATGATAATGAGAAATATGGCTTCTCCATGTAGGATTGGAAGCTATAGCTAGTTGACTTCCCCAAAGCCAAGTTCTCTTTCCATGGTGCAGAGCTATTGCTGGGAAATGACTTCACAGCCGGGGACTTTATTTTCCAGCATCTCTTAGATCTAGGTAAGGCCACATGCTATATAAGTCAAATTCCTTCTGGTTAATAGTATATAAAACTTGTTTCTTCCTAACTGAGGTGGTAAAGTATTCAAGGTCACTTCCTTGTGCTTTTTTTGCCCCTCTATGGCAATCTTCAAGGCCATATCTTGAAATTGACAGCCTTCTTGAGATGGGAGTGGCCAGAAAGACTTCTAACACCACTCCTTGAGGATTGGCTGTGGAGACAGAGGAAAAGGAGGAGTCAAAGGTGCTTTTTAGGTTCTTAGATGGAGCATTTTGGGTGATGATGGCACTATTTTACATGGAGGTGGAATCTTTGGCAAAGGAACTGGCTTAGGAGCAAGTTCAGTTTCAGATTATCCATTCCTCAACTGAACTCTTTCATTATCTTTACAGATTATTGAAAATTAAACAAGATTTCATCAAATTTTATAAGTAATATTATCCAACAGAAGATATTGAGAAATATACTCTTAGATAGTTTACAAAGGAAAATGGGTTTTTCTCCCTTTTTCATATTAATCAGGGAAGAAATGAATCTTACTATTTGTTCTGGGTTGGATACTTTGTTTTTCTATTATACTGCTACAACTTACTGTTTTTCAACCCTCAATTAAAATGACAGTAATAATCATACAAATAAGTAATATTACTCTTTGCTTGGATAGCATTTCATTTACATATCCAAATTTATTTTCTCGTTTAAAACGTATAATCATTATGTGAAGCAGGTATTTTACAGTTGAGAAAGCTGAAATTTTGAGAGAGTAACTGATTGTTTTCAACATCATGCAGTTGGTTAGAATATAGATTTGGGGCTGATGGCAAATGTAATGGAATTCTATGAGGAGGTCATGTGGCATCTCTCTTTCATTGACTGGCTTATTTCACTCAGCATGATGTTCTCCAGTTCCATCCAGATTGCTGCAAATAATAAGAATTCCTTCTTTTTATGGCTGCATAGTATTGCATTGTGTAGATGTACCATATTTTTTTATCCAATCATCTGCTGACGGGCACCTAGGCTGTTAATAAACATTATAAACTGATGAACAAAAAGATAGATACAAAGACAGTAAAGCAACAAACAGATTGTCAAATTACAGCGGAGAGGATAAGGAGATATGGGGGAGATAAGAGGTCAACCGAAGGACTTGTATGCATGCATATAAGCAAAACCAATGGACGAAAAACTCTGGGAGGGGGAGGGCATGGATGGCGTGGGGGAGAGGCAATGGAAAGATATGTATACATATAATACCTTAATAAAAAAAACTGTATATATAAAGAATTCTGTGAGGAGTTTGAGTTCAAGAGTTATGGGAGTTTAATTTGAATCTCAAAGATTCTCAAAATTGATGTATTTACATACTATCACAAATGGTACATTCTTAAGTGGTAAGAAAGACCAGTATTCAGCTGTTTTAGTAAATTAAATATTTTAGTTAGAGAGACTTTCTATATAGAACCTAAGTCAATGGTAGTTTTCAAATAATTACTACAACATAATACTTATAACATTAAAACAATCTATATATATAAAAATCTAAGCGACTATTACAACTGAAAGATGGAAAGGACTGGTCGACCAGTTGCTATGATGCATACTGACCACCAGGGGGAAGATGCTTACTGCAGGAGCTGCCCCCAGGTGTCAACAGCCAACCTCTCGTGGCCCCTCCCCATGATGTTTGGCCTCCCCCATCAACCCCAGCTGCCCCCCTCCCCCCCATAGGCCTCAATCTCCAGCCAGGTGGAGGAACTCTACCCATGAACAAATATGTGCATTGGGCCTATATTATCCAATATTAATTTATCTTTTGATTATTTAGAAAGGCAAGTTATTTATTTAGCACATCATAGTAACCATTACACAAATTAATTACTATTAGAGCTTTCTAGTACTAGGTAATAAACCTGCTGGTGGGGGGAAAGTATTTAGATAATGTTCCTTTTCTGATACATTATTTTCAGTGACTTTTCGGTGCACTTAAAATCTAAAGTCCTTTAATTGATCTTCAAGAACTGGCCCCTGATGTTCTCATGTCACTCATCATCTCAGATATCACACAGTTATGCATATATGACCCATTCATAAGTAGATAAGAAAAAGATAAAGTGGGAGACAGCTACTTAATTGAAGGGAAGTATTTTAGGATTTTCATAACTCATCTCACATAATTCAGGGGTCATATTAGATACTATATCTCTATCCCAGAAGAGTCCCTGGTACATAATAGCTATTCAACAGGTTCCTATTTTTTCAACCACTGAATGAGAAGATGATAAGATCTTCTAACAGTGATCCCAAATACTCAGGAACTTTCGTGACTCTACACACTGCACGAAAGGCTGGAATTATATCCCTATCCAATACTGGGAGGCTGATGAAGAGAATACTGACCACTGATGGGAAAATGTTGCCATTTGAGCTTGCTAGAAAAACATGAGGACTTGGAATTAGAGAATCATTAGTAGAGGAACAAACATAAATTTAAATGTTTAAAATATAAGATCTGTAAATAAAGGGAATAATAATATGACCATTTAGCCTAAGAAGATGCTTGAGGGGATAGCTTAATAAATCTACAAGCCTACCAATGATTTTTTCCAAGAGGGTTGACTTGATATTTTCTTTCTCCAATGAGAATAGGTTAAAGAAGAGCAGATTTTCATTGCAACTTGATTGATTTATATGATCTACCCAGAGTAATTTCATGACAATCAACGTTGTTGCCTATTGAAACTTATAGCCAAAGGATAGATGGGTAGGTGGATGGATGAGTAAGTGGACAAATGGAACAATAGATGGATAGAGGGCAAGTGAGTAAATAGATGCATGGTCATTATTATTACTATAAATTTTGCAAACAGAATCAACCCACATGCATCCCAGAGACCTTTATGGCCTCTCAAAAGAACTAAGAGCTAAATTCTGTATTTAGTTTCCTTTTAGATCTTTATTTTGTGTATGTTTATCTGAAAGCTGATTTTTTTAAAACTATAACTCCATGCCTATATATTTTTAACTTTATTACCATTTCATTTTAGAAAAAGATTTCATGGATTCTTACTAAATGAAGTTGGCTAATAGCCTGTGGTATGTTGGATCAGCAGTGCTGTACCAATCTCCTTTCCTCTGTCCACTTCTCTCCTTCCATGTAGTCAGTCAGAATTAAACGAAAACAATTCTATATAGAACATGTCCCAGCTTTTCTGTTTAATTCATCTTTGAAGAATTTAACTGACAGCTCTAAAGGGTACACATAGTGACAATTTAGAGATTTTACCAATGGACTTGCTCCTTTCTCTCTGGATAATACAGGAAAAGGCAAGGGCATGTGAAAGGTACTTGTGTTATACTCCAGTTTGCTTTCTTTTAGATTTAGTTTCTAGTTGAAATTGAATGTTTTGAAAATGAGATTTGATGAATTAAGATTCAATTGAATATTTCTGTTTATGTCTGAAAACCAGAGTCCATCTAAGCAGGACCATTAGCTTTGTTTCTGTCTATATGTCACTGTCAGGCTGAGGAGGTTCTGGAGATGGAAGGAGAGAAGAGAATCAATGTGGGAAGAGAAATGACAGAGAAAGAAAGAATAAGAGAGAAACCACTCTACATAGCAGTGTCCTCATAGATCAGATCAAATTAATTTCACTGGTTTTGGGAGTGTTGTTTTCCAAGTAAGGTGATGTGTCTTCCCACCAGAGTGGGACCTGGAAGCTCCAAATTCTATACATCACTAACCTAAGTAGAAGTAATATTGATTTACTTTCAGATCATGTGGGAAAGACCAGCTGATTAAAATTTGTAATAAACTTGTACATCTTCTGTCCTAGAGATAGTTGTATTACTTATTAAATCTTTTAATCCCCACTTATCTTGTAGAATAGAAGTTAGTAAATTACATTTATCGAGACCAAGTTTGGTTTTGTTATTGCTATAGCTGTAACCAGTAAAGCTTGGGATTTTGAAAATGTGATTATTTTTTAATTTTGATGTTGTATTTCTAAAATAATAGATATATAGT